ATTTCAAGAGCTTAATTCTGGCATGCAGGAATTTTTGGATGAGGAGGAATATGTGGAAGATCAAAAGAGTTGGTTTGGTCCAAAAAATGACCTAATGGATGACTTCTTTTGGGGATGTGAAGGATGGATGAAAGATGTTTTGACACGTGCTGAGCAGGCTGAAGAGTGTGAGGGACATGTAGCACCTGCAGACAGTAGGTCTATGTCATCAGAGGTGGCCATTAGACGTCATGGTAGATCTTCATCACAATGTGGAAGCTCAGTCTCGTCATCTTCTTCAGTCAGATTAAAGGCGGAAATGGAGCGGGCCTCATTAAAGGCAAAGGCAGCAGCTTTAAAGGAAAAGTTGGCCATAGAAAAGGAAGAAGCAGAGTGGCATGCAGAGAAAAAATACAGGGAGGTTCAACTGCAGGCTGAAGAAAAACAACGAGAAGCAGAGTTTGAAGCCCAGCAAAAGAGGATAGAAGCTGCAATAAAGGCTAGGAAGGAAATGCATGCAATGCAGACAGCGCTTGCTGAGTCTGATGCCAAGATGGAAGTTTTGCAGAAATATGAAAGCGCACAAGAGGACAATAGCATCACTCAGGCTGATCAGAAGGACAGTAAGGCAGATACAAAACTTACCATGCAGCTACCATCACAGGACACCTTTAAAGCATCCAGCTTTAAATACAATGCTCCACCAGCAACAGTTCAAATGGCCACATCTGCACCAAAGACTGAAATCAAAGACCAGCAAGGGACAGTGCTTGAAGGGCTTTGCCAAGCTATCTCTCAGCAAGCCAACATTACAGAGTATCTTGTGAAGAATCACAAAGCATCTCTACTTCCAGATCTCATGGTACCAATATTCAAAGGAGACCCATTGGAATACTAATCTTTTATTGGAGCCATTGAACATGGAATTGAAAGCCGCACTGATAACAATCGTGATCGCCTTCAGTTTTTGCTACAGTATACAAGTGGACAGCCACATGAGCTGGTTAAGAGCTGCATCCACATGGAACCTTCAGCAGGATATACTAAAGCAAAACAGATGTTGAAGGAGTTCTTCGGTGATGACTTCAGGATCGCAGAGGCCTACATTAAGGAGGCTCTGGATTGGCCGACGATCAAGCCAGAAGACGGTCTTGCTCTTCAGTCTTTTGCATTGTTCCTCACGGGCTGCTCTAACACTATGACTGATATTAGCTACATGGAAGACTTGGACAACACAGCTTATATAAAGGCGCTGGCAAACAAACTTCCATACAAGCTCAAAGAGTCTTGGAGAAGGTCTGCATGTGACCTGCAAGAAAGGACAAAGAAAAGAGTTAAGTTTAAGGACTTCGCTGACTTTGTGAACCAGCAAGTTAAGTATCTCTTGCACCCACTCTATGGAAATATAAAGGACACCACCATAAGCACGAAAGATCCTGTAAAACAAAAACAAAAACAACAATGCACAGAGACACTTAAACCAAAGAAGGTGTTCACAACAGCTGTTGTGCCCCCCAAGGCGGAAAACGACAAACACACAACATCGATAACACAACCTGTATCAGTGGATGCTAGCAGCAAACTTTGTGTTTATTGTAGTGGAGAACAACACAGCCTCACAGTCTGCAAAAAATTCAAGAGCAAGCTACATAAAGACAAGATCGATTTCTTGAGGAGCAAAGGTTTGTGTTTTGCATGTCTGAAGCATGGTCATATGAGTAGCAGCTGCAAACAGAAGCTTAAGTGTAAAGAATGCTCTAAACAACATCCCACACTTTTGCATATTACAAACAAAGACTCTGAGGAAGACTCAACAGAGGAAAGTTGTGAACAGCAATCTGTATCAAGTGCTCTTGTACAAACAGCCGAAACCTTTGGTGTCACTGGGGCAGGTAAAGAAGATTGTGTTATTTCGATCATTCCAGTGTGCGTCAAGGCACAAAAGGGAACCAAGACAGTGACCACGTATGCGTTCCTGGATCCAGGAAGCTCAGCTTCTTTTGCTACAGAGTCGCTGATAAACCAGCTGAACATGAATGGACGCAACATCAGCATCTCGTTAAGAACAATGGGGAATGAATCAGTTGTGAACACACACATTGTGACTGGTCTAGAGATCAGTAGCTTGCAAGGCAACCAGTTTGTGGAACTCTCTGAGGTTTATTCACAGAAAGACATTCCTGTAACTAAGGACAATATTCCCAGTCAAGAGGATATTGATGGTTGGCCACACCTAAAGGAGGTGAGAATTCCCACTATCCAATCAGAGGTTGGATTGCTCATAGGAGCAAACGTTCCCAAGGCTATGGAACCACTGCAAGTGCTTAACAGTGTGGACAATGGACCATACACCATGAGAACTATCCTAGGTTGGACAGTGAATGGACCACTCAGAGGTGGAAGCGACATAATGGAGACGAACGCACTGACAGGAATCACTGCAAACAGAATCTCAGTGGCTAAGCTAGAAGAGCTCTGGCAACTGCAGTTCAAGCAGGACTTTCCTGATGCTGGACAAAATGAAGACATTGAGATGTCTAAGGAAGACCATCAGTTTATTGACATGGTGTCACAATCTGCGAAACTAGTGGATGGTCATTACAGTGTTTGCCTTCCAGTGAGGAAGAAGTCTTTGCATATGCCAAACAACAGGGCAGTTGCAGAGCAACGTGCGTTGAACTTACGCAGAAGATTCTCAAGAGACATCAAGTTTCATAGAGAATATGTTGCATTTATGGATGATCTTCTCAAGAAAGGCTACGCAGTGAAGCTTGATGGTGCTGCATGTGAGTCTACAGAGGGGAAGACGTGGTATCTGCCTCACCACGGAGTCAGACATCCAACAAAACAGAAACTGCGGGTCGTCTTTGACTGCAGAGCAAGCTTTCAAGGAATGGCATTGAACCAACAGCTCCTTCGGGGGCCGGACCTTACAAGCTCTCTAGTGGGTGTCCTCATGAGGTTCCGTCAGGAGACCGTGGCGGTCATGGCCGACGTCGAGGCCATGTTCCACCAAGTCAGAGTAAGGAGTGAAGACACAGATCTCCTCAGGTTTTTCTGGTGGCCTGAGGGGAACTATGACCTGGACCTCGCTGAACACAAGATGTTGGTGCATATCTTCGGTGCAACATCGTCACCAAGTGTTGCAACCTTTGCGCTTCAAAAATGCAACGGACTTTGCCGACGAGTTTGGTCAGGAGACGGCTGAGACAGTCAAGAACAATTTTTACGTAGATGACTGTCTTAAGTCAGCTTCTGATGAAGATACAGCCATCACGCTGTGTGCTAAGTTGCGGAGCATGTTGGCAAAGGGTGGATTTCGACTGACAAAGTGGTCAAGCAACAGCAGGAAACTGCTCAACTCAATCCCAGAGAAGGAGAGAGCACAGGGGTTTCAAGATCTGGACTTGGATGAGGACAGTCTGCCAACGGAGAGAGCATTGGGCATCCAGTGGTGCGCTGAATCAGATCAGTTCAGGTTCAAGATCAACATAAAGGATCGACCACACACTAGGAGAGGTCTGCTTTCCCTGGTCAGCTCCATCTTTGACCTGTTGGGGTTTCTCGCTCCAGTAGTACTTCCCGCAAAAAGGATCCTACAGGATTTGTGTCGGCAGAAGTATAGCTGGGACGAAGATCTGCCAGACAGTGTTGTTAAAATCTGGAAAAAATGGATTTCAAGTCTGCCTCAGCTTGAGAAATTTGGAGTCAATCGATGTGTCAAGTCAAAACAGTTTGGTTCACCAGTCTACGCACAGCTTCATCACTTTGCTGATGCGAGTGAAGACGCCTATGGAACAACAAGCTACCTGCTGCTGAGATCAGAAACCGGTGAAGCTCAATGCACCTTGATCATGGCCAAGGCGAGGGTAGCGCCCTTGAAGTCTCCAACTATCCCAAGAATGGAATTGACAGCGGCCACAGTTGCAACTAAGATGGACAAACTTCTGAGGAAAGAGCTGGAGCTGGAGCTTGATGAATCTGTCTTTTGGACAGACAGCACGGCTGTGCTAAAGTACCTCAACAGTGAAAGTACCAGATTCAAGACGTTTGTCGCAAATAGGGTCTCAGCAATCCTGGAGCAGTCGCAGACATCGCAATAGAGGTACATCAACACCGCTCTGAACCCCGCTGATCATGTCTCAAGAGGACAGACTGTGGAAGCATTTTTGAAAAACGAGAGCTGGCTTTCAGGACCAAGTTACTTGCTCAGCTCACAGGACCAGTGGCCCAAAAATCCAGATCCTGTTATGCTGGATATCGATGACCCAGAAGTCAAAAGAGTAACTCAAGTGCACATCATTCAAGCACAAGAGCCAAAGGACCTCATGGATCAGTGGATGAACCACTACTCTTCTTGGACAGCATTGAAACGCGCTGTAGCCTGGTTCCTGCAACTTAAGGAGTTGCTGAAAGAGCTTAAAGAAAAGAGAAAGGAGCTAAAGGCATCAGGAAGAGAAATCAAGATGGTTGAGTTCAAAAAAGCTTACAAAGGAAAGAACCAGACTTGTGACGACTTGGTCGCAGCAGAAGCAGAAATCGTAAAGTACTGTCAAAGGCAAAGTTTCACAGAAGATTTGGCTATGCTGAAGGAACATCAAAGAGTAAAGAAAAGTAGCTCACTATTTAAGTTAAATCCAGTGCTTGAAGATGGAGTTATGAGGGTCGGCGGGAGGTTAGGTCGCGCAGCAATGCCTGACGACGTCAAGCAGCAGGCCATCTTGCCTAAGGA